GGCTCCTCACCAGGTCTGATGATTTACAGACCACAGTCGAGGGGATGACAAGGCCAGCAAAATTTGTCTTGCTCCTGCTGCCTCCATCATTAACAGAGACTGAATGGTGGGTACCGCCACACACACCAAAACTTCCGGTTTCAGGTGTCGTCTTCCACTGGAGTGGGAGCATCCAGTGCCAAAGAGATAAAGGCATGAGGCCTGATAAATGGGTCTGTGGTGGCTTGATTAGAAGAGGTTTAACTGATGCAATAATCTGACCTCCCTTTCTTTAGCCCTGGTGGTTCTGCAGCTTGCTGGACAATTTAGAGTGAATGAAAAAAAAATGCTTTTCCTTTGTAGAGTGGGAGAGACGAGCGTTGTGAAAACAGAGGTGGGAAAAGGGTACTGGCGAGAGACTTCCTCCTACTGTAGGCAAGACTCGGGAAAGACTTAGAGAAAGGTGGAGAACCTGGAAGCGAACTGACTTCCTAACACCTGTGGAAGTTGTGCAGGTCAAAGACACTAGTTTAACCCGCCGAGTACTAGAACAGTTATGACACCCGGTGGTTGCCCTACTGGTTGATGTGCCAGTCCCCTCCTGCCTGGGCAGTAACTTTATTGTCTGGGATTTCCAGTGCTTAGGACACAGTCATGCACTCCACGTCCCTTCCTCCCTTCTGTGACTTTCAGCCTGTGGAAAATGCCATGGGTACTTACGCTACAGACTTCCCAGTGCACAGCAAAGGAAAGCGTGAAGAAAAGCGAAGGGAGTTGCTATAACAAAACAGGCTGGGCACCTTCTAGACAACAAACATTTAGTTCTCCCAGTTCCGGAGGCTGGAGCCTGATGCCAACAGGGCTAAGTGAAGGCCCTCTTTAGGGTTGCAGACTTTCTGTTGTGTCCTCAGGTGGTGAAAGGGGCAGGGGATCTCTCTGGAGCCTCTTTCAGAAGGCACAATCCTACCGCTGAGGGGCTGGGAACCTCCCAGAGGCCCCGTGTCCTCATATCATCGCATCTGGGGGTTAGGATTCAAATGTGAAGTGTAACCACAAAAAAAAAACCTCCCTGATTATTTCATGTTTGTTAGGTGATGAAATTAACACACACACACACACACACACACACACACACACACACACTTTAGTGAAAGAACCAGGGGTTTTTATAAGCTGGTATGTGAACCTGTTTTCTTCAAATGAAACATCCAAGACTCGATAGTTCACTTATTTGAGCAGACGACAGTCTTAGTCTGACAAAGACACAAGCGTGCACACACACAGATACAAGATGTTCTTTATATGAACATGCTCCAGAATAACAACCACCCTCCAGCACACGTATCCACATCAGGCCCTCAATTCTACACACACTTCATACTCATAACACCACCCATAAGGCAGATATATTATTATCATAAACCCCATCTGGCGGATGAGCAAACTGGCCTCAGTGCTCACCACTGTGATTTATTACAAACACAGAAGGACACAGCAGAGGGAATCAGCAGAGGGAAAGGGCAAAGGAACAAAATGCAGAAGAAACCAGATATAAGCTTCCAGGGTCCTCTCTCTGCAGTTACACAGGATGCACTTCATTCCTCCTCCACCATGTTACAACACGTGAAATGTTGTCTACCATGGAAGCTCCTTAGAAGCTCATTGCTAAGCTTTCTATTTGGGGGTTGGTCCAGTGGCACCCTCTACCTAGCAGATACCGAAATTTCAGGTGCTCAAGGACAAGAGCAGGTGTTCCACAGAAACCACATTGCTTATGTAAATCAGGGGTGTCAAACTCATTTTCACTGGGGGCCACAACAGCCTCTCAGTTGCCCTCAAAGGGCCAAATGTAATTTTAGGTGTATAAATGTAACCACTCCTTAACTAGGGGCAAGGAGCTCGGCGCTGCAGCCAGGTAGAAACAAGGTGCAGGGCCGGATAAAACAAAGTGGAAGCCGGATTCAGCCTGCAGGCCTTGTGTTTGCCACCTGTGATGTAAATAGATAGGTACAGTGAGCCACTCTTACCAGGGGCTTGTGGAAACCCTCTAGAAATCACAATGCCCAGACACCAGCCAAGGGCCAGCCTTGCAAGTAGATCTTTTCAAGTCTGCCAGTCTCAGGCCTACTTTGTTCATTCGCCTTCTGCACAGGAGGAAACTGAGAGGATGCACCGCGCTGGGCTCAGTCTATCAGAAGCAGTGCTAGTGGCTAGAAATGCCTGGGGCCCCGTGGGGTCCCCCTGACATCTCTTTTTTCTAAACCCATGTTACAGCTGGACCAGCCTTTACGGTTCTGAATAAGGTTTGCAGGACATCCTTCAGCAATAACCTTCATGAAACTTTGAAGAAAAAAAGAGTTTATCACTTAGAGGCTATGGAAACTTTGAAGAAAAAAAAATTTATCACTTATAAGTTTGTCATATATAGGCCCCCGTAGGATAAGAGTTTATCACATGAGAGGGCCCATAGTGAGGTCACTGGAGGGGCCTGTGTGGAGAGAGAGAGCAAGCACTAGGGATGCCACTTTTATTGGGGTCAAAAATGCAGGCCTAGGGTTTCATGGGTTCACTCTTAATTGAAGAATTTAAAACAGAGAGTGGGAATTTAGAGTTTGGGAAAAGAGAAAAACAGAAAGACAGGTAGTCCAAATGGTCAGTTATCAAAATCGACCAAGATCTTTTAAAACAAAGGAGACTCAGTGGGAGAAAGGTGGCCTGGATTTTTATCTAGTCCTGGGACTGGCAATGTGTACATTGGAAACAGCCTTCCTAGAAGAGGGTGCCCCTTTGAAAGGATGCCTCAGCAATCAAAGCTGAAGTCAGGTGCCTGCCTTACAACAAGAACAAACTATCATGGCTTATGCTACAGAGGCCTTGATCAGCAGTGGAGAAGCAGAAGGTAGGGGCTGCCATTAAGGACAAGGGTATTTAAGTACGGTATTTACCACGTAACTGCACTTAAGTCAATTAAGGACCACATACAGAATGGCTGCATATGATGTTCTCAGGAGATTATAATGGAGCTGAAAAACTTTCATAGACCAGTGATGAGGTAACCATCATAATGTGAAACACATTACACAAATACTGCTGTTACAATTGCCTACAGTATTCAGTACAGTAACATGCTTTTTGGGTTTGTAGCCTAAGGGCTGTAGGAAAACAGAGCTTGTTACCTCCCAAAAAGGTCTCTTTAGCATAAGGATTATTTGGGCTGCTGAATTTCAAGAAACAGCAGACATGGGAGAAGCTCTGAAAATTTTTGATCAGCAGATAAAAAAGTACTAGGAAAATTGCCTGCCAGATGCAACTCTTATCTGATTAATCTTTTTCCCAACCCCCTCACCTACCCTTTCTTCTCCTTATAAAAAGGTCTACTTGACATGAGGTATTAAGATGGTTTTTGAGGGCACATCACCCACCATCTCTTCAGATCTCTGGCATCTGAATAAAGTACCCCAAAAGATTCAATCCTTGTCTCTACTTCTTGGTTCTGGTAGTGACACGTAGCTTAAATGCCAACTTTTCTGGTTTCAGGCGTATAACAGTGAAACAACCAGAAAAGGAGCAAACATATGCAGAGAGCTTTCTATAGGCTTCTTATTGGCTCATTCTTAAATATAAATGGATTGATGTAAAGTACAGCATAGGGAATATAGCAATATTGTAATAACCATGTATGGTACCATGTGGGTACTTGAAAAATCAGGGAGATCACTTTGTCAAGTATATGATTGTCTAACCACCATGCTGTATACCTAAAACTAATACAAAATAATATAAACTGAAAAATAAAACTTTGTGTGTGTGTGTGTGTGTGTGTGTATATGTGTGTTTATATATATATATATAACTTTGTATACACACACACACGGAAACTGAAACTGAAAAATAAATTTTGTATATATGTGTGTGTGTATATATATATACACACACACATATATATCTCAACACAAGTCACCAGATATTTGAGGAAAGGCCCCTAAATGAAATGTACCCCCCAAAATTAAGCAGAAACAAAAAAGAGGCATGGGGGAGGGACAATGCAAAGAACAGGAAAAAAAGAGTTTTAATTATAATTACTTATCAGAAATATAGGTTTTAATTGTGCTTTGTTCAGAAATATAGGGAAGATATTTTATCCATAAAACAAGAACATGACAATTTTAAAAAGAATTTTAAAAGCTCTTACAAAATGAAGACTAACATTTTAAATACAAGAAAAGGTTGTAATATAACATAGGTAAAAATCTTCCCCCAGAGACAGGCTAGTAAGCCAGGACAAGTGAAATAATGAAACTAAGATGTGTAGTTCCGCTGTGAAGCAGTTTACAGTCATTTAGTAAATTGCAAAATCCTATCATCCCTAACCAAGGACATTAAGAGCAAATAGTTTACACTTCTCTTCTGCAACCAGAGGGTAAATAGTTTAAGTCACGCTACCCAGGGAAATAGATAATAAAAATCCAATTACTGCCATTTGTGCCAACCACGCCCAAGGAAGGATAAAGTCAGAGGAATAAATCTCAAGTTGGGGGCAGCCGCATTAAGCTGATGACTATTCTACTGGGATCCTTCCCTAAACTCCCAGCCTTAAAAACCTCAAGACAAGGACTTCTCTGGAGCATGCCCTCGCCTTTCCCTTCTCCCTCTTCTTCCTTCCTGGCACTTTCACCTTTGCCTTAATGTCCCCTAGGCTCTGCGGGCCCTTCTTTTGCTTCTGTAACTTGTTTCCTGAGCCTACACAGCACAGCCGGATCACTTCTACTACTTCTGTCACTTTCTAAACAAACTTTCTCTTATCAGGTTCTTGGCTCTGAGTCCTTCCTTTGCTGAACTCAAGAACCGAGGTTCACTTTCACCTCTAGAACCAAGGTCCAATTTTGCTGCCAACACCCCAACTGTTAGTGAGGGTGAGAATGGCACCAGGTGTTATTGATAGAATGATGGGGTCAGACCAGACCTTGGTTCAGTAACCTTAGTAGTTGAGTTCTGGCTAGGAAAGAATTTAGAGCCAAGACTCGAACTCTAACAGACTTCTTTATTTGGGAAGTCACAGAGGTAGAAGTCAGTGGCAGAAGAAACAGGCTCAGTAGAAAAGTTACAGAGGCAAAAGAAGAGCCCTTGGACCTTAGGAGAGGAAAAGGTGAAGGTAACTTGCCTGAGGGGAAGGAGAGAGGGAGGGGAAAGGTAGATGTGCTCCCTGGAGGGAGAATCTGCTGAGTCCTCTGTCTTAAAAGTTTTTAAGGGTCGAGATCTTGGGGAGGTTCCGCTGGAGGAACTCAATAGAATATCCATCAGCTTTCCAAGGGGGTCTTTTCAGGGTCACAGTCTCCAGTGATTGGTCAGCACCAGGGCAGGGGATGATTAGTGCAGCTGGTCACAGTATTGATGGCCTTGCTTGTCTGGTTTTGCTGCTTTTCTGGGCCTGGGGCTGAAATAAAACTGAGACTTATCTCCCGGGAGGAAAGGTCAGGTGGCCTGTATGACCAGTGACAGGAAAAGTCAGGGAATCCAAACTGCATGACCAGTGATGTGCTAGGAGAGGAAAGTTTGCCCTGGGGGCGAGGCCCTTGTTTTCCCAGTTTTGCCTGTTTCTAGCCACCCAGGGCCTTCGGACTTGGTGACCTTCTGCACCTGCCCCATCATCCTTGCTCTGCTCATGTGTGCCAACCACATACCCAGAAAATTGAGCACAGTGACAGAAAAATTTTTTAAATTATAGGATCAATCAAGTAAGTCTAACATGAAGCTAATGGGAGTTTAAGGTGGAAAAAAAAAAAACCCCACAGGGAAACAAAAGGGGAAGAAATTGCCAAAGATATATAACCAGGAAATTCCCTCGGGTGAATAACTAAGGACTTACGTTGCCAACAAATTTCCAAATACTAGCAATAAAGTGAAATCCTGAATGTGTCGAGAAAGAACAGAAAACAGGTTACATGTAAAAAGGATCGGAAACAAGAGTGCTTGCTCTTGGGCTTCTCATTAGTGACACAGAGGAAACTGGAAAACAATAAAGCAATTCCTTTAAAATTCTGGTGCAAAATCTTTTCAACCTAGAAAACTAGTTGCGATTAAATATCAACCTAGTGTGACAGAACAATAGTATTTCGGGCATGCAAGGAATCAAAATATTTACTTCTCATGCACTCTTTATTTAGCAACTACTGCAGGATATGCTTCACACAGATGAGGAAGTAAACTGAGGAGGAGGAAGCCACAAGACTCTGAAATCTGGACACCTAACAAAGAGAGAGGATGATGGGTGGCAAGGAGAAGTCTTAGAAAGACAATTGTGCAGCTGGTCTGGAAAGAAACCAGAACAGATTGGAGCAAAAACAAGGAAGGCAGTAGAAAAAAAGAATACAGAAAAACAAAAAAAGGTAAATGGGCACATTTGACCTATGCAAAATTATGTTGCGAGGCTACCTATCAGATATTTGGGAAGCATTCACAACAAATACATAGCAAAGTAAGCAAATGGAAGAAAATAATGCAATAATTAACTAAGAAGAGCAAAATGCTATGTAAGAAAAAAACGTAAACATTGTGTATTACGTGGCTCAGCAGTGACTTCTAAAAATGTAGTTCCTTCCACCCTGCGCCAAGCTCGCCAGGGACATTCCACTGCACTTGGAGTGAAATTATGTGTCCCAGCTCCTGTGATCTTTCCCTTTACTCACTAAAGCCCTGGAAGTCTCACTTGCCGCTTCCTACAAATGGGACACTACCTGTGAGGTTCTTTTTGTTTTGGTCTGGGGTTTTCCGGTGGTAGTCAGGGCTTAAGTTTACCTTCCCTGTGAAGCTTTCCCTGACTAGCCAATATGAATTACCCGCTTTCCCTCAGCTCTGCCACTATAACATTTTACTTCATATCATTTTATTTTCTTCTTGTTGTACTGCTAACTGAAATAGTTTGTCACTACAGTCATGCATCACTAAACGACGAGGGTACATTCTGAGAAATGCAAGAGGTGATCTCGTTCTGTGACCTCACCGAGTGAACTTACACAAACCTAGACGGTACAGCCCACTGCACTCCTGACTTCCCTCTGCCCTTCTCAGTTCTTGGCTGACGCATCCTGCAGTCCGTCGTGACCAAAACATCATTATGTAGCACATGACTCACTGAAAATAAAAGTAAACTGTAACAACACTAATTAACAATGACGTAGTACTTATTTGGACCAGGCACTATTCTTTACATTTGTTATTTTATTTACTCCTCACAGCATTCCTATAAGTTAAGTATTATTATTACCAACAATTTATAAATAAGGAAACTAAGGCATGTTAAATAACTTGCTGGAGGTTACTCGAGAGCAAAGCTGGGATTCACACCCTGCCTTCTGGCCTCAGTTTGTTCTAACAACCACCATGTGTCACGGCCTTTCCCTGCAAGTGACACGAGAACAGAGACTTTACCCCCTCTTCATTCTCACAGCCTCAATGTCTTTAAGCAGTCACTGCAGTTTACACAGTGAGTACTCTACAAGTATTTGCTTGGTAAATGCATTCCAGTGATCTGAGGTAATCATCCTGAGAGAAATGAAAAGGAATAAATATTTGTTCTCCTTTGCTATTAGATGTACCACTTAATGCATCTCAGATTTGTCTACATTTCTGCACGAGCTGCTCTGGTTCCTCTGGTTATACAATCTCTCGATGAAGATATTTCTGTCTTTTATATACTTCAGGTCATTTTGCTGCATCAGCACTTGTCCAGTATCCAGTGGCTGGAGGATATGATGGTCTATCGCAAAGGTAAAATGATTATAATGCTGATTTCCCATGGACCAAGTAGATCCAATGAGTTTCTTAAAGAACATCCAGAAGACTTATTGATGGAGTGGTGTTGGAAAGAGCAGAAAGCTACAGACCACTCCTCATTGAATCTTTAGTCCAGGGGGAAATACAGAGTGAACAGATGCAGAAAATGATGATCTGTTCCCAAGGACAAGAAGACACATTCGAGAGGGGGTTTAGATGGTCAGAGAACTCTAAAGGAGTGATGCCATATGTTTCTGTTTATGGATTCCACACCATTACCAACCCACTAGTCCAAGCACCATCATCTTCCTTGCATCCTACAACAGCCTCCTACCTCAAACCATGTTGGGAACCACCCTGACTGGTATCAGGAGCTGAAACCCCCACCTAGGCTAAGGCTAAGGGAACGCCCTTGGAACCATAAGCCAGCAAGGAGACAAAAGCTTATCTCCATGGCAGGAATGCTGCTTCTGCTGCTTTATTCATGACTGAACCCCAAAAAGCTTGGTCGGTTAGCCAAAGACGGGTAAGATTCCCCAAGGGGGGAACGACCTAAGACAGGCACGATCAGTTTGGGGGCCCCCCAAAAGAAGCACTTGGGGGACTGCAGCAAAAGGGGGTGATGGACCCTCGCTCCTCGGCTTTGACATAGCCTGAGTCCTCATCGTCTGGGAGAAAATCTCCTTGTCTCTCGGTTGCCTTAGTTCCCTTGCTGCACCTAAGCCTGAAACAATGACAGGGTGGTGCAGCTCTGTGCTGAAAAGGGCAGATTCCCCGGGTGATCAGGCCTAAGAAAGAACATGTAAATTACTGTGAAACCTTCTTTGTTTAGAATGCTCTCAGTTGAATGAGAAGGGTCTTAGGAGGAAGTTAGTTTGTTCCTCAAAGTCTTACAGCTCTTTGACCCCAACTCAAAATAGACCGGCAGAGTTCTTTGTTTTCTATGGTTCCTTACTTCCCCTAATGAGTACTGTACTTTACCTGAATTATTATGCAAAATGAGCCCAATAAAAGCAGGTATGGACAGTAAATCAGCATGCTCCTCACTAGAAGGGGTGGCCATTTCGTCCCTACTTCCCCACAGAAACTAGTTTGTCTCTGTGCATGTTTTTTCTCGCGTGTTTATCGTCGAGCCATCCGCAGCGTTCCATGATCACTGCTGGCCGGTAACCCACGCAACAAAACCATACACAGCTTGCCCTTGGCTTTCACACCAGATCATGCTTTTCTAATGATGAGTTCCCTAATTTCAGCATCTTTTATAGTCTAGAGAGTCTGGTAATTTCCAAATCATCTAATCCTGGTTCCTTTTTTTCTTAACAGTTCCTTCCTCAATTTATCGATTTTCTTTTGCATTTTACTATAACTAGCAAACAGAAACCAGGATGCACCTTCAATATTTTGCTTGGACAACTCAGCTAAGTATCCATTTTCACCACTTATAAGTTCTGCCTTCCACATACCTGTAATGCATCGTCCCACTGAGCTTTCCTCTGCTGTGTAACAAGGATCCCCTTTCCTCTGGTTTCCATAAGCATGTCCCTCAATTCCTTTTGTGCCCTTATCAGCAGCACTTTTAGCATCCATATTCTACTAACAGTATGTGACTCTTCCAATATTCTGTAAAAAGAGTCTATGCAGTTTTTTTACTGTGTTCCTCACTTCTTCTGAGTACTCACCAGCAGCATCTTTAATTTCCATATTTTTACCAACATTGTTTAAGACAAGCTAGGCTTTACCTATCAAGCTCCTTAAAATTTTTCTATCCTCTGCCCAGTGCCCAATTCAAAGCCACTCCACCTTTTGAGGTATTTGTTACAGCGACATTCCATTTCTGGGTACCAAAATCGTACATGAGCTTCTTATTGTTGCTGTAACAAATTACTGCAAATTCCACGGCTTGAAGGAACAGAAATGTATCACTTTATAGTGTTGGAGGTCAGAAGTTCTACATCAAGGTGTCAGCAGGGTTACATTCCTTCTGGAGGCTCTAGAGCGAGAATCTTTTTCCTTGCCTTTTCCAGCTTCTAGGTACAATCTGCATTCCCTGGCTCATGGCCCCTTCTTCTATCTTCAAAGCAAACAGTATAGTATCTTCAAATCTCTCAATTTCTCTCTCCTCTCTCTCTCCTCAGCTTCCGCTATCACACATTTTCTTCCCTGTGATCATTCTGCCTCTCTCCTGTAATGACCCTTGTGATTATATTGGGCCCATCCAGATAATGGAGGATAATCTCCCTCCAAGAGCCATAACTTAATCACATCTGCAAAATCCCCTTTACAATAACAATTTCCCAGAATTAGGACGTGGACATCTTTGGGGTGGGTGGAGGACATTATTTAAACTACAACACTCACCCACCACCTACTATGAGCCAGGAATTAAACTCTATGCATTTTCATGGTGGTAAAAAATGAGATGTTTCCTGCCCTCAAGAAACACGCAATCTAGTGGAAGAGCCAGACCTCAATCCCAAAACCGCACAGATAATCACACAAGTCATTGTGAATTGCAATTAGTGCTCTGAAGCATTGGGGGTCATGGGGTCATGAGAGTCTCTCTGAGGCAGTGGCATTAAATCTGAGGCTGATGGGATGATAAGGAGCTGGCTGGGGAGGAGAAGAAAGAAGGCCTTCTGGGCAGAGGGATCGGCAAGTGCGCAGATCCTGAAGCAAAAGCTGGGGATGAGCAAAGGTGGAGATGGTACCAACAAAGTGCTATTCCTCTGCAAAGGTGGGAGGGACCAGATCTCTTCAAAATTTAGAGCATGGTAGGGACTTCAGGTTTTATTGAAAGCATAACAGAAAAGGGTTGAGTTTTGGTAAGCAGATGATGTGATCACACTGCTCTGTGGAGAACAGATTCGGAGTGGGGGTCAGGGTACTCGAAAGTGGAAATGCATATAGCTAGTGAAGTGAAAATAGTGGCTTGAACTGGGCATGTGGCAACTAAAATAGGAGAATTGTACAGATGTAAGATAGATCTTGGACCAAAAATTACCCACAGGACTTAGTGTAACGTAGTGTGATTCCAAAGTTCGAGATATGACCATCGGTATGGGTGGCATATGAGGAATGTAGCAAGTTAATGGAGATGAGAAGTTAAAGGAACTGAGATGCCAGAAGGAGAAGGTGTCATCCATGCACCTGGAAATAATGTGGGAAAACAGGACTTGGAATGGAAGGGAGACTCAGAAGCCAAGTGCTAAAATCTTCCGTAATAACGGGGACAGAGTGACCAGGCTGTCTGTCAGTAATTGTTACGAGGAAGAGAGGGGTAGTAAAGACTGATGTAGGATTGGCAGAGAGGGGTTTTATAGGAGAAGTTTGATCTGGAAACAGCACTGGGCAGGGTGGAGGAGACCAGCCCCTCTCCAACTCTGAGAGAGGAAAATGGAAAATACAAGCAACCTCCTCTCAACAAGATGGTAGGGAAATGACCTCACCTGCGGACAGAAGGAGCAGGAAACATCTAGGGAAGGTGAAGAGGGGTGCCCTAACACTGAGTTGCAAAAGATAGGGTGGATAATTTGGGTGGGAGGGTCTAGTGAGGGTTGAGCCAAGAGAGAAAATGCAAAGCATCAAGAAAGAGCAGAGATGATTGAGGCATTGTTTTTTTAAAAAAAGTGTGAAATGCTGAATTTAACTGTTTGCTGGTTGCCAATGTTATGAGTTCCAACATTTTATTCCCTGGAGGATGTTGGGTACTCAGGCCACTGTTGTCACCAGTGGTCTGGAAGGCAGGCCAGGCACGCTCTTCCTCACGGTCTTCTATGGTAAGGGAATGAGACTGAATCTAGGCCTAGAAGTCTGGGGCTGGGTGAGAGCGGACCATGTTTGTGTCTAAAATGCTCTTACTTCCTTGTTCATCTGGACTTCTGCCACAGTTCTGCTCAAACATCACCTCAGCTAGAAAACCTTTCCTGATTTCTCTTTTTATGCACCTTATGCAAAATTTTATTATAGCACCTGATTACTTTGTTGGATTTTTATATATTTCTCTCCCTGAATAATTTCTCAAGAGTAAGAATAATGCTTGAAGTGTTTTCATTTGATAGTCTAGTAAGAGCTGCATAATTAAATGAAACTTGAACCAATCATTGTCTGCTTGTCAGTATTGTAATATATAATAAATGTTAGGTTTGAAGAATGGTTTGCATACTCTTCATATAATAGTTACTCTAAAGTTTGGTTTTCACATTATGTTAACCTGCTTTTCAATAGATCTCTTCAGTTAGTTACAATTAAATACACAGACCCGAAATTCTGCCAAGATACAGATCCTTGGTCTTAACTATGCTGAATTACCCAGTATTTCAGCTTTTCTTGAAAGGCAAGTTAATTTCAATATTAGCAATATTAGGCATTTCCATTTCCTTTTTAATTTCAGCTTTGAGTACAATAAATTCAATGTTAAAAATAAAAATATATATTGTATAGAGTGAAAACAGTCATGGAGCTTCTTTTTCTATTATCTTCAGAAAGCTTACTCATTCTTTCCTCCATCAATGCGTTTTTACCTCAATCTCTCTCTCTCTCTTTTTTTTTTTCACAGAGAGAGAGGGAAACATCGATCCATTGCCTTTCATGCACACCCCCACAGGAAACTGAACCTGCAACACAGGCATGTGCTCTGACCAGGAAACGAACCAGTGACCTTTCCCAGTAGAGAAGATGCCCAATCAACTGAGCCACTCTGTCCAGGGCTTCCTCATTCTTTTTTACACCTGATGAGTAGGTGAGTGACTTCCAATCTTTTATTTCTGCAACAATTCTGTAATACTGTTGTTCATAAGTCATTTCACACATGTATAAGTAACTACAAGGCACTTCTAATTAAGCTAAGTATTAGCAATGATGTTAAGCCATTAAATCTATCTCAAACTATGTAGTTAAGTTCATATGGTTGCAAATGACCCCTCATTTCTAGCTTCAAAGTGTTGACCTTTAAGATCGAATGACAGACTGATTGGCTACTATAACCTATGTTCTAA